GTTTTTTACCTGTTTGTATAGCACTTTTGTCAGCTGTAAGGTTTTTTAAGTGTAAGTGTAAGTAAAGTTGGTATTTTATGGTTAGAAATATGGATGACATATTGATACAGAGATATATTGAGATAAAAGATCATATTGAAAAGATTTTGTGCCACTTTTCAAATTACAAAACAGCAAGAGAATACATTATGTCCATACCATTACGTAGAAAGAAAATAACAAAAATCTTTTCCCTGAATATCGAGGCACAGAATATAAGATTTTTTTCCATTAGGTATTGAATATTAGGTCGATTCTTTTTGACTGGCTTAGTCATGGTCACGCAATACAAAGAAAAATATCAAAATAGTGTGACAGTGCAGTGCCCATTAAATATTTTTTGTTTATTTTTATAATTGACTATTGGTAAAAGTAGTTAACTACCATTAACTATTGACTGAAGTCTATTTACAGATAAATATGGCTGCTCAACAACAATCCGTGATGAGTTTAAACTGCACATTCAATGTTCTTCCAGCCCAATTAGAAAAATGTTGCAGTCTCAGTCCTGGCTCATGATAGTAAATTCAAAATAAACAACCACTTTGTGCGGAAAGCAAAACTGGATTTGTGGCCAGCTAATGCGCCCCATTATAGCAGGTGTGTATTGTTTACAGTCATTTCCTGCTCCATCTAAAAGCATATTATCGACTTGACTAAAATTAACGTGAATGGTCCATTTTGAACGTTCTTGAACATTTCCAGTCTCTCAGCGTTTAAATGTTTGTTTTACCAACAGGGAGGAGCTTTTTTGTCTCACTAGATGCTCGTGCGGATGGATTTAACTTGAATATCTGACACCACTTAGAGGAGTCTCTCTTGGCTGTGGTCTGCAGGGATGGTGTATTTCTATATTGGTGAGTTCCAGTATGGACAAACACAACACACATTTATGGGCACATTAAGAGGCTCTTTGGCTCCGGCTTTGGCTACTGTTTCAGCACCTAATATATTTACCCACATTACAAACAGTGAACAAAGCGAAGGTAAAAGCGACACAGTAAAAGCCTTACCACAGTGTTAGTAAAGGAGTAAACGATATGTTGTTGTCTAATATTCTTTGTAGATAAAGTACATGGATTAAACAGACACAGAAAATGATTGAAAATGCAATGCAATTGTCTCGTTTTATATATTATATATTGTGTGTGTATCTGTAAAAAGCTAATGCTGTGAAATGGAACTAATAGTATATCTATCTGTGATGACGCAGACAAACATTAACTTGTCTATGCGTATGTGATTTATACAACATTCGCTCTCCTAATTATCAAACCTGATATGGACCACTACAGTACAGTACATGCATGATATTTCTAGAATGACTAAGCCTTACCTACAGTACTTGCAATGAGGGTTAGGGTTTCAGCTAAGTTCTAAGATAATAGTATAATAAAATAATATAGCTTTGGGAACATTTCTCTGTATTTGAGTATGGCCAAAACTGTCCAAATGTGTATACAAATTCTGTGAGTAAAGTGATCATGTAAACTGATTATTTAAAATGAATATGCATACATTGTGTATGCGGTAATAACTGTAGCTTTTTCAAATGTAATTCTATTGAAGTTGTTTATTTTACTTTGAACTAACAACAATCATAATGGTCAGAAACATTGAATTTTGAAATGTAGCCATAATTGTGCAGTACTAATGGTGGTATTATTTTTAGGTTGAATACAGAAAAATATAATGCATATCCACATTAAAAAAACGTCTGTCTGCTAACCTGAATACCTGTGTGTATTTGCATGGGGCGGACTGACACAAAACTGGTGAAAATGTGCAGTCAGAGTTGTGCGTTCTCACTCAGGGCCGTGTACAAAGAGTATTCAGCAGAGATGGATTGAGGCGATCCTTCCTTCCCATCAACCACCTCATTAGTCCCACTCAGCCATAAAGCTGTCCCATCAGGCTGCGCTGTCATAACTCACTTTACTGCATTGATTTTAATCACGGCAAATGTAAACATACGTATTATCAATATCAATGCACAAAATAACGCTCTAATATGCAATTACCAAGTGGCATTGATTTTTCCCTCTGCTCTCCTGCCGCCCCATCTCCCGGCTTCAATGTAATCATCGTCCTACTTTGAGCTGATTTAATAACGTTGGTATGTATAAATATATATAGCGGCAGGCATGGCTGAATATTACACAGATGATTTTCATACATTTCAATGGAGGAACAGAAGGGTGAGAACTCGTAGCCCGCAGCGAGGTGAAACCAGGACAAAGCACCAGGACTTCTATGGGGCTGAAATAGGAACAGGACAATTATCTTTTTGCTTTCCCTGAATATTTCTACTTAAGATTTTTTTTCAAAGCCTCAAGTGTGATAAAAGATCTAAAAGGGTATACACTTTCAATAGAATGGAGGCTTCTGTTCTTTATTTAGTGATTTTTTTGAGTTGGGCCAAATGTCTTCTGATCAATAACTTTAGTTTACAGACTGTGTAACAAACAGTGACTCTTGTGTTCATGTGACATCACAACATTCCCAAAGAGCTTACAGTTTAAAATTGTGGTGGAGGGAAGCTGAAAAATCTTTCTTGGTAACTATGGTAACTTGTTCTAATTCCTGTGCCAATCCATGTCACACCAAAACCGTCTCCAAGTTCCACATCTTCTTCATCAGTATACAGTATATCAACGATGGTCTAATTATTTTATCATAAAAGTGTCTAGAAGCGGCGAGAATAAAAAAAAAAAAAAAAACAAGTATGATGTTGGCCAATAAGAGTGTGGCAGGTTTGTGAAACTCCTCTCTATCAAAAAATTGACATTTGGGTATTCACTTTTTCAGCGTTTCTTTTCCACCTTTGGCCACTGAAACTTTCTAAAACATGAAAGCATCCCATTTAAGACCTACTTTAGATAGATGTGCAGAATTGCGTTTGAATTGCAACAAATATAATAAAAATGTGATTCATTTTCTTCTGTTTGCAGTAACACTTGGCAACCAGAGACAACGTAAAAGCTAGAGGTCAGGCACTATAATATACCAAAACAAAAACATCAAAATATATTGGATTTGGATTTTCAAGTATGAAGAAGTAGACTGAATAAATGAATAACTACATCAGAGGAGCAGCTTTTATATGACCAATACATCTCTGCCTCAGTCAAAGCACAAAGCCGCACTTATGGAATGGGCATAATCCATAACCATAAAGTCTCATGGCAGAGAGCGAGGACTTATATATCAAGACTTTAGCTGTGTATGCTAATGCTCAGTGATACTCGCATATCACCGGCCTGCTAAAGCTACACATACAAACAGGTCCTGGGGTCATACTGGCGTTGGGCCAAAATTGCAGAAAAGTTTACAGTATTTTTTTTTTTCTACAATGTGTACATTTTTGAAAGTTTGGTTTCCTAACTTTGGGACCACAAAAAGATAACTATATCATAAATTTGTAGTTCTTTCCTCTCAAAACAGTTTTCACATGCTTGTATTATTGGCCTGTGTCTCATCTTTAGATTAGCTTTTTCAGTGAAAAAGAGAGAACCTACATTCACCCAGCCAATCAGCTCTCTCGGTATGTCAAATATATAATGTTTTCTAATACGATAAAATCAGCATGATGTGTTTTTCGAAAATGTTAAGACTTTCTTTTGGGAAGAAACAATGTATATTTATGAAAGTTATTAAGTTTGGAGTATTGACAGATAATGTTTGCATATAAGAATTAAACTGAGTGGAATCATTGTGTGATCTTTGACCAGCACATTTTGTACCGCTTTACATTGAAATAATTCACAATCCAATTTAATCTTTCTTACAGTATGTGCAAAATGTGTTTTAGGACGAAGTATAGAAAGTAGGCTTACAGTAGCTTTCTAAGCAATAGTGACAGTAGCCGCTGTACCCATATAGTATAATTATTTAGTTATATGGGGAAGAAAATGACATGACATGACATTATTTAGTCATATCCATATATTGTATTACTTTTTTTTCACAACACATAATACACGTTTAAATAAGCCTAGATGCCATGGCTTGTCTCTTGCACCCTCTGCTGTTGATTGATTGCCACTTAAGTGATATGCATATGATCTATTAAAAACCCTGATTAACAAAGCAGTGATAAATGACAAAACTGCTTCTTCTCAAACACACACCCACCTTGCTTTGTTGTGCTATTCGGTTCAGGACAGGTCTAATGAGGACAAAGTGCTCCCTGGTTGAACCCCAATGGCTCCGCTGACTCCAGAAAAGAGGTGGAATGGCTGGATGGAAATGAGAGGGGCAAAGGAGGTCACACTTTGGCATTAGTTTTAATACCACGCACACACACAGGCACATGGCACCTCAGCACAAATGACTATAGCACATTGAAGTGTCGCAGCAGCATTAGGGTGACAGCAGCCATCTCTCTCACCATCCCTCTCCTCTAATGTCATCATCCAAATTTCCCCTTTTTGCGCTCTCATATCTTAATATTATCATCGGAATAGCCAGCAGGTGATGGGATGTTGGACCAGGAAGCAAAATGAGGGGAATATATTAGAGAAAGTGGGAGAACTGACCAGTAACCTGATCACAATAGCTATGGCAATGGCAATGGCAATTTCTAATCTTTCTGAATTAATTAGATGAGCCCACTTTAGAGTTTTAGCCGTTATATTACCTATTCTGTGCACATTTGGCATCGGCCTGCCTTTGTAACGTAGATTTTAGAATTTGTAAGTGTTAAACTAAATTTTAATTGTATTTAGGTTTCATAAAGGCCAAAGTGAATTTATAAATTGTAAATGTATAATGTATGCAAACATTTAAGAATATAAAAAATAAAATGCGCTACTTTGGTTCCCGAATAAAACAGCGCCCCCTACAGGGACACTTGAATTGGACACTTGGAACACGGAAAATTGCTACTCAACAAAGTTAGTCACATTGAAGCAGAGTGAAAAACAAAAGTTCGCCTAATTAGGTGCAAGACTTTGTGCTGCATGGAACTGGAATCAAGTGAGACCTTTTCTGATTTTGCCTGACTGCTTAGCCTGTTTAAAAGGCACATGCAAAACATCCAATTTAAGCTAACGACGTGGCTACTGTTTGATGAATGCTAAGTGTGGCTAACTAAAAATGAATCAATTATTATTATTTTCCATCGAGAAACTTATCTGAACCTGTTACCAACCATGGATCTATGTTACCAACAGACGCGGAGATCGATAAACCTGGCCACCATCACTGCCGCCGCCACCTTTCTCCGCTGTCTATAGTCTCCATTGCGAGGTGAGTTTTGAGCATAGTTTTGACTCATCTACAGTCCATCCATCCATCTATTCTCTTCCCCTTAATCCATTTCTGGGTCAGGGGGGTGGCAGTCAGAGCTGCACCCAGTACACATAGCACCAGCCCCTCACTGATCCTGCATAAACTTATGAGGGGAAAAGTTCCTTCTACTTCTCTTAGCAAAAAGAACAGATAAATCATAGTCTGTCATGATCATATTGAGGCTATGCATGATGCAGCTATGATATTTGGTAATTTAAGTCTATTCTGAATCTGAATATAACATAACTCATACATATATGGCTGGTACTTAGCTTGTGACTACTTGTGCATGAGTAAAGATCTTATATGAATGAAAATGTCATCTCTTTCATTATATTAGTATCTTTTTCTAGTAACAATGTTGTCTTGACTGTTCCATTATGGCAGCCTTGATGATACTGTTTGTTTCACTGTGTTTTTGCTGTCCTCTCATCTCATTCCTCTCCACTGTTCCTCTGTGGAGTGTTAGTGAGCAGCACAGACATCATAGAGCCATCAAAGGTTGCCAGCTGTAGGAAATGTCTTCATTTGCAGCATGCAGGCCTGACACCTGAGCCTAGAGTGGGCTGGTGTGAGCGTGTGTATGTGTGGAAAGTGACAGGGCCACAGCAGCTCCCTCAGCAGGACTGTCTTTAAATTGTCGGTGTGTTTTATAGGCATGTGTGTGTGTGTGTGTGTGTGTGTCTGTGTGTGCAGCTGAGGGCCTGGTCCCATCCATCAGCATTAAGATGGCACATTACTGTTAATGAATGATATTTGTGTTGGCCGTGTATGTCAGGAGGGAGGACCGAATAGGCAAAACAAGCCCTCCCCAATCACCTCAACTGCAGCCCCTCATTTTCATTGTCAGCTCTGGACTGTTTTGCATTTTCGGGAAATATTCAACTCAAACCAATCTTCTCAGAGCTACAGGAAAACAGCAATTGTTTTCTGTTGTTATTCCAAGTTTGCATTTAAACCTTTGAGTAATACGCACACTCCAGCTCACTTGTGCAAACCTACACCAACTAAGGAAAGATTTATCACAGTATATGAGTAATAATTGTGTCTGTGAAAATTAGATAATTATATAGTTTATCTTGAATTCACTTTATTTATTGGAAGAGACACTCCTCATTAGTGAACATGAAATAATATAAATGTGCCCAAGTCATTTGATATTAGCTAATTTTTATCTATAGTCCCTATGACAGGACTTGCTCGGCAGCTTGAAATATATGTACAGAGAATGGATGAAGAGTGATTTTTCAGAAAAATAATGTTACACTTATGACGGTATGCCTCTAACACGTGACCAATGTATTGTAAAGAGCTATCAACATGTAATTGTAGGGTAATTGTCTTGCTTTTATTTTGTGATTAATGGCAAGACAAGTGATACAGGCACCGTTTCCATTTTAGTGAAAGCCCTCCAAAGAAATATGAAAGTATTTTGATAAGTGTATTTTTTTTGTCAGGCCCTTTTAAAGTTAAAATCCAAATTAATATGCACAACATTTAAATGAACAATTTAAAGAAAATATTTTATCCTTATAATAACATTTTGAATAGCGAACTAAAGTCAATGTACGTAATGTATTCTGGTTTCACTTGTGAGTATCTCGAAGGGTTGCGCTAAGTGAAAGTTAATGTCAGGCCTCCTTTAACTCCGTGAGGCATACGAAGAATGATAAAGTGACAATTTGGTCCACATTTTTTATTTAATTTTTTTGCTCACCGGCGACAGCGTCAGCCATTAAGTGTGAATGAGAAGTGTGGAAATCTCCAGTGTCAGATGGTACTGGAGACTGTAACTGTGGAGAAGCTCATAATCCACTGCTCACAAAGTGTTATGAGCTGCACTGCTGATGTAAGCAGAAGAGCAGTGAGTTTTACGAGTGAGATCTGGAGAACAGGGTGTCAGGGACTTATGTTTATTCCTCTCCCAATCACAGGCAAAGCTCCTCTGGGCTCTTCACTGTTGGAACACGTTTTCTACAACTCAAATAAGAAGCTTATTAATAAAATGTTCATTCAGTTAGGTTTGTATGGTATGAAATTATATTATTTTAGATATTGTCTTCCAGTCTGAACCGTCACAATAGCTTGATATTTTTGTATACAATAAACATTTTTATTTATATAGTGTATAATGTCAAAAAATTCCATTATCAAAATTGATACTTTCAAAATGTGACATTACAATTCCATTTAGTATAGTAATGTACGTGTTTTGACAGATGTCCAAGTCGAGGCCCTTCTGAGAAATTGACAACGATGGAGGAGTCTTACCATCTGATCATTCCTCTCCCACTGCCAAAAGGTAATGATTCGGATTAGTATCAGGTACGTCCTGTAAAGCCACAAACAACCAGAACAGTGATTCCCAATCTTTGTGCCTCCTAGCCAGCACATTCAGAGCCCCTGTTGTCAAGGGCTAACACTTTTATTCTCATCTTGAGAGGTGGGCAAATTCAAAAAGTGAGGGCTTGTTTTGGACTACAACTTTGTCTTTCTATTCATCGTTTTTGTTGTGACAAGGCACCACTTTTTTGTCTCTCTTACTTTAATGCTTGAACTGAAGCAAAACTAAACCAACAGTAAGAAAGGCCTTTTATTGCAGATTGATAGATAACTGTGTTCTGTGTTCAACGTTGAGAATGTCTGCTTTTAAATAATACATTTACATGCCCAGGTAGACATCTTGTTATCAATGTTTGTAAGTTATCTTATGGGGGAATCGCTTGCATACCCCTAACAGACTGCGCAAACATTGAATAAGAACATAAAAATAGAGATTGAAGATGACAATCAACTGCTTACAACGATGCTAATTATCAAACTACTATTTAAATTTGTTTGACAACTCTTGTAGTTTCAGTCTTTAGATTTTGAACCAAACTGTATTACATTTGAGACGTAACAGAACCAGAGAATTGCATAGGTGTGCCATTTGCTGAATTATGATGTGCTATTTTATCCTGAATGAATTTGTCTATCCTCGATGCTGCAGCTCAACCTTTAGTTAACCTTATGTCCACGTCCTGCTCTGTCGGCCAGTGTTTACTGCTTTCACCTTGACCAGCGTCAAAACATTGTATGAATATGTCAGAGAGGAAGCTGGGATTGCGTCATGGCCAGGATACTTCCTACTACTGTAGAAATGCTGCTAACCAGATTCATAATATGAACTGTGAAGTGTGTGGGCTTATCTAGAAAAGAGAGAGGATAAAGGAGGGTCAGAGGCGTTGTAAACATCCTGTAACATCTGTGAATCACTATTTTACAGTAGGTTCATCTGTGAGTCATTAAACTTCCCTTTTGAGTCTTCACCACTTTAACAACGAAAATGCCATTTAGTATTTAGTTAATACCATTAACATAAAAAAACAACATTTGGTGGTTTATCATCAATTTCTTTTAAGCCTTAATGTGAAACAGCCAAAAATTATAATTTAATAGAAAATATTTAAGAAAATAATAGATAAACCAACAAAGCCGCTGGCCTGCATACAACCGGTCTGCATACGAGGGTTCATATTTCAAACTCATTTAGTAAAAACCTTTCAGAATACTTTTATGCCAAAATAAAAACACTTAAGAGTGAGATACAATCTAGAATGCCACTTTAGGCCACACAAACCGATGCTTATGTTGGACAGGAAGGCACAGAGCCAGAAACAGGAAGGAGGAAGTTATTAGCAGGGATGATCTGAGCGCACCAGTCTGTGGAGTACATCAAGTAAAGAACAACACCACTTTACACACTGCACCTGGCTCTGTTTGCTTAAAACACATCTGAGACACAAAACTACCACTCACTACCACTTTGGACTTAAAGATATGCATTCAAGATGTCTTAAAACATACTAAAAATCAAATCAGTTTGGCACATATACCACTAAATATGGATTTTTGGTATTCCACGTTAGTGTCATCGAATGTGAATTTAATTATTATTATTTTCATCACAACTATTGTGAAAAAGTGAGTAGTTTTTAATGAGTTTCATTGGCTCTGCTGATTCGGTTTTCCTTAAATAGATTTGTATCCAGCAGGTGTTTCCTTTGTCAGAAATTTGGACAGAAGTGCTGGATCTCACTGGTAGTGTGTGTGTCTGGAGTCAGCAGACACCTGTGTCCTCTGCTGCTATGTTTGTGTTAGTTTGAGCTTCCTGTAGGAATTCAGAGATGTTGTTCCAACTCTGCTACAATAAACTTGGCATGCATCGAGTTGGTTTTAGACAATATCAGAAACAATGCCCCTATCCTTCCCTGCTGAATAGATCTGTAGAGTGGAGACAAGAGAGAGTATCAGACCTTGAATGCGTGTGTCATGGATAGTCCTTCTCTCCTCTCCATCTCTCCCCTCTCCTCACCACCATCCCTCTCTTAGCCCTCTAATCCTGATGGTGTTAATTGAAAGTCAGGAGAGGGCACTCTTGCGGTTTCATTATTAATTTAACACTCAGGGTAACTTAAAGTGCAATTTTCACCCACATGTGGAACAGAAAAATCAATGGCCACAACAGCAGCAAGCATCAAGGTTGATTACTGATGCACGGGCAGAGACGACAAGACACCAGCTACTTGAAAAGAAGGAGTGACGTGTGTGTTGGTGTCTGGGTGGTTTTGGTGTTTCAACCTGATATTGACACGTCTAGAAGTAGCACAAAGCACCGGTTGAACATAGACATTTTCAGCTGACGTGATATTGGAAAAGCTTTCCACCAGTTTTTTCTTATGCATTTTTTCCGTGTAGATTGCGTTTGTGCGATATGTTGTAGCTTCTGTCCTGCTAATTGGACACATGGCTCGTGCCTTATTACCTCAAGTCGTTCATTGGTGGCTCTCGGCTGCGAATTAAATGGGGGAAATAAAGGTATATTGCTCAGTAATGCAATCTGTCCTCCAGTTTGAGAGATGAGCAGGCTGCCCTTTGCGCTGAGCGGACTTAGATGATTTAGAGAAAGCAGATGGAAAATCCTAATATGTTAGCCTAACCTTCGATGGCTAGGAGCTAATTTATTTCTAGCACCACACAAGAATTACAGTTTCTTGCCGGGATGCCCACTCTCCCTGTCTCTGTGCACTCACTTTGGGCTTTTTACACCGCAGTGGAGAAGCATAAAAGAGCAAGGAGGAAGACAAAATCTAAATCCAATGCGTATTTAACCCAGAGCAATTTATGTCCTCTCTGAAGTCACAATTGAACTCCATTAAAGGTGTGGCGGTTAATTGAAAATGTGCCACTCAGCGCGAGCTAAAAACACAGAGGAAAGACATAAAATGACAATTTACTGTAAGAAGACCCTTGGCCAGGATGCTGCTCCTCCTTGCTCTGCTTTGATATATGTTTTTACATTATTTTCCACCATTTCCAGTGCTTTGCACATTAATCTGGTTATTCTAATTTATATCTGGAACATTAGGCTCGATACTCAATTACTCTTTGATGGAGAGCCACTTATATCTGATTCCTTGCTGCATTCAAAGTCAGAATAAACACATTTGCTGTTTCTAACTCGATGCAGATGCTGGTTACGCTGCACTCCCCCTTGTTTGCATGAGCTGGGTGAGCTATTTGAGTGTGATCAGGCCTAAGTGGACATGTCGCTCTTGATAAACACTTTATGCAGATCAGCTTGCACTTGTTTTGCCTTGCTTAAGAGAGGCAGAGAAATAATACCTCTCTAATTGACCCATTTGGCTGCTGCGTTGCCCACAGGAGGAGGCCTGGGCTTTTAATGTTTGATCGGCCTAATTTCCCCAACACATCATTAGTGGCCATCTTCAGGCCTGACTCTTAATAACCTCTTTATGAGGCCAATGGCTGTAGTTAAAAGTCTTTGTCTCTCTTTTCTCTCTCATCTCTCTCCCCGACTCTTCTCGTCTTTGTAATTAAGTCAGATGTTCAAAAATATGATAATGGGTCTTGAACCTGTTTGGACTAAATAAGCAAGCATCCCATGGACCTCTGTGCCATTTACATAATTTCATTATCAGGTAAAACACACTAATTGTCGAGGTTGGCTTTTTATGAGTGAATGCTTGTGCCGGCGAGCTGCAGCTTCTTGGCCAAAATGCTGCATAATTACAAAGCAAGTGGTCATGCGCTGATGCCAAGTCATTTACACAGAGGCTAATAGATTCCTGTGCCCTGCCTGGTCATTGTGTTCCTGCTAATACTCCACTGAACATTGGAGGAAACCATCCCAGACAGAGACAAACATGCATGTTTGTAAACCGTATTAGTGTGTACAGAAATATTAAGTGACATACACACCCAGGGAGATAATACAAGACGGGTGATAATTATAACGTCTCGTTCAGATTGGCAATCTTAACCATAATATTATAAAACATTATAAAACAACAAATCTTAATTCTTTTAAACAAGTACATTTTGGTTTCAAACATCAAAACTAACGTTTTATAAATTACACACAGGAGGCACAAAGTCTCATTCTCTTGTCCACTGCTGCATCTAACTTCAACGCCTGCGAGAACATTCTGGCGGTCTATCTTAACTGTATCTTGAATTTAACGTTAGCATGTTCATTGCTGATAGCTATCATTTGTTAGCTGTAAAATGGCGCCAAGTTAACGCTATACCGCTAAAACCAAAATGTTCGTTGTAAAAACTTAAAATCTGCGCATCTGTTTATCGAAATGATATGACATTCATGCTATACAAAAAATGCGAGGTTGCGCTATCCTGCAAAGGCTTAGCTAACCTGGCTATCAGTTGGCTATCACCTTATAAAAATGTAACTAGTCACCTTAAAATTATAGTGTAAGTTGAAATAAAGGACAAGGATAATAAAGACGAGCAATTCTGGTGAATTCCTCCCTTACCTGACAAAAGTGTCCTCCAGGTCAGCCTCCTCAACCGTCCACTCAAGTTCTGCCTTCAGTGTCTTCTTCTTCTTCCAGAACTTTCTCTCAGATTTCATGTGTGCGCATGCGCGAATTGTGCTTGATTGATAAAAGTAATTTGATTGAATGTATAATTTGAATCTTATTGTTATTTTATACTTTTATATTGTATCAATCTACAAAAATAGATTGAAGGAGACATCATATTTACAAAATGTAATTTTACTTAACAATTTAATATTTTTAGGCTATTGGGATGAAAAAAAATCAAATGAAACGCAGTAATGTTTTACTTTTTTTCAATGTGCAAACTCCACAACGCACCTGCACTTGTCCACAGGCTCATATTTTCTGCAAACTTGGACAAACGCAAAAGACAGAATTCCAAAGTCAGAATAAAATCACAAACAAAGTGTTTGTAGTATCAGTGTTGACATTTTACTACAATGACAACACTAAAACATTTACAATGCATTTATTAACATTTGGCTATGTGTTTGTTATTGTTGCATTTCCTGTATTTGAACTGTTTGAGTCTCTAATCTGTGATGGTGAAGTCCTCT